GCCGCGCGCGGCGCGTGTGCCGCTGAGCCGCGGCGGGCGCGCGCGGCCTGCTTTTGCGGCGCTTTACGTCAGCCCCTCTCCGCCTCCTCGGGGCGGCGCGCTTTACGGCAGGCGGGCTCAGCCGCGGCGGAGGAGTTGAAAATCCGGTACCGGGAAAAATCCTTTTGCCCGCCGCTTTCCCGCCCTTCTCCCGGTTCTTCCCCCCCGCTACCTCCCGGCCCAGGCTCGCCCCTGGCGCTGTCCGTGGTGGCAGGGCGGGCGGCTGCCCCGGGGTCATCCCGTTCCGCCTGCCCCGGTGCGGAGCCGTTCCCGCACGAGCCCCGGGCGGAGGCAGCTGAAGGTTTGCTTTGCCTCGAGAGACCTCTCAGGGAGCGTGAGTGGGGTGTTGTTCTCGGCACTCGCTTTCTGCCCTCCTTTGCCCGCGTTTACTTTAGCTCGAGAGTTACAAGAAGAGTTTACTTTTCCAGGCGCAGCCCTTTCTTCGCTGCTGAGACTCTTTCCTGTCCCTCCCAGCGCCGGTAAAGGTTAATATCGGTATCTAACGCCTGCTTCCGATTAGTTAATCCAGCAGGGTGCTTCTACTGCAGGATTAAGTCCTAATTTGCAAGAAGGTGTCTCCTCTGCCGCTCCTATGCCCCCACACGCAGACGGACAGACTGACAGCTGCTGTATTTTTTTTTCAAAAGAGCCATTAACCACAACCTGGACAGAGGTGAGTGCTTGGCCCTGGAGAGTTCAGGTGTGGAACTATGATTTCTTGGCTCTCTTAAGAGTATCTCATCTGCCAAACTAGTTTTCAGATTCAAGTATGTTGGAGTAGATTCACACTAAGGCAGCCTTGAGCAGTTTAACATGTTCTTTCAGCGCTTGGATTTTGGTGCCAAATGGCTGTGGAAGGATGGTGCAGATCAGACCCTTCTGGCACTTAAATTAGAAGATAAGACAATAAAGCTTCAGTATTTCTGCTTTTTTAAATCTGTCATATCTTACTCTAGAAATAAAAGAGGGAAAGCAGAAGGATCAGCAATGCATTCTTGATTTTTTAAAAATATATTAGTCTTTGGGTCATTTTGTTTGTGTTGGTTTTTTAATACTTACACTAGAATCTTCCCATCTGCTATTTTATTGCAGCAGACCACGATTCTGATTTCATCACTCAGCACTTTGCTCTTGCTGAACACACATTCTTCTGTGTCAGGAACAGTTACACAAAGACATCCATTACTTGTTTGCTGTTATAGATCTTGCAGTGGCCACGAACACTGTACAACAGTTTTGAACAAATAATATTTCTCACATATAAAGTTTAATGAAAGTCAAAATCCAGTTCTTGTTTTACATAATAAATACTGTAATAAGGATATTTTCTTAAATCTGACTTGCATTTCCAATTAAATCTCAGCTTCAAAGACCAATAAATATCAAACTTCAAAGCAGCAAATCAAGGTGCCATTTGGTAATAGCTGTAAAAACAGTGTTGTCTCAACATGAAGGTTCCCAACTTTTTTGAAACATTTCAACACTTTAAATTCCCCCAATGAACTACAGTGCTGAAAATACAGCTCACACCATCTTCTCATGAAAGATTTCTGGGTTTAGAAGTAAAATCTGTCATGGCACTGTAATAATGTCAATGTAAACCCACACTTCCCACTCCTCAAGGATGATGAGGTGCATTCTAGTCCTACGCAGTCCCTTTTGGGTAAGCAGACCCTACAGGATGAGTCAGGCAGCAATACCATGTGTCAGTTTGTCCTGAGCAGCTTTAAAACAAGCCTGGGGGCAACTTCAGTTTCTGAAGGGAAATCTCAGCCTCAGTCAGCCCCAGTGCCTGCAGTGCCAGGCTGCAGCTCAGTGTCTCACTGCTGCAGGTCCATCAGTCCAGTGTATCCATCACGTCCCAGGGAAGTTCATCACAGTGACTCTTTTCACATTGTCTGAAGCTGATAAACCCTTGAACCTTTTTTCAAAAGATAACCCTGGTCATTCAGGGATCCAATAAAGCTTTCAAAATCAGATACCTGGAGAAAATAAAGACAAAAATATCAAATTGGAGAATGACACCTTATCTGATGTAAAGCACCATAAACCATTTAAAAGAACTCAGTGAAATAAAGTGAGCTAACAACAGGTTGGTTTCCTCAGCGAACTGTTGACCTACTAGGAGGTGGCACACCATCGGTCCCACCCTTCTGTGCTCTACTTACACACTGTTTTTACTGTAGTGTTACACAGAACTTGTGTTCTCTACTTTATGACATGCACAAAGTATGCAGTTCCATATGTATAAATTCAAGTTCTGTAACACAAGTACCTACGAAAGAAAAGCCTGATTTCTACAACTCTCACTGATTTCCAGGTGTAGAACTCTGAATGGGCAAAAAATATTCTCTATATGAAGGGAGAATGAGAGTTAATTGAATTAACTTTAAGTAGTCACTGAATTACTGATGGTCGTGGGAGAAGAGAGCTGGATGTACCATGTTCTGTCAGACAGGATTCAAAACAAATCTAGACTTGTGTACAGTCAACAGTTCAACAAGTTGGGAAACTGAAGCCATCTTGCCCCAGCAGGCCCAAGTAGGGTCACCAGGTAACAGAAAGAACAGCACCACTTCCCATAATTAATTTCTCTTTATGAAACTAATTATCACTACTTTTCACTCATTACATCTGAAATCCCATTTTAAATTGGCATAAAGCAAAAAGTAGAATTAGCCACCAATGTTTTTGTTTGGCTGCAGCCCCCTCACAAATACAGAATTCAAGTCAGTTACAGGGTAAAATACATTTGTGGCCATGTGTCCTACATGATGTTCCTATCAAGTTACAACATTAGGATGCTTGAAGCAGGAATGAAAACCCAAAACACAACATTTCATCCAGAGAAGGTCAAGCAGAAACACCATTGCACTGCTGAAATAGAGCAGGGACACCACAAGGATAAATTTGGGAACAAAAGTAGGTTTGCCCTCTGGGGAGCCAGAGGGACTAAACTATACTGAAACCAACATTGCTTTTCACAGAACAAAGCAGGGTCTTCTCAAGGACCACCTTCAGAAGCAGAATCAGCCCTTACTAGTGTGAGGAGTTGCTTTTGCCAAACAGCTGGTGAGGTTAGTAAAGCTTACAAAGGCACTTCAAGAAGACTGTTCAGCCTAAAAGCAGCATTAAATTGGTTCTTTCTGTTCACTGCAAAGAGGCACAACAGATGTGTCTTTTCTACTTCCCATTTTGCAATAAATAATTTTGACTGGTCTTGCAGTTTGCTGTTGAAGAGACGCCTGATTTCCAGACTCACCCGTATCTGTAGCTCCTTTGCAATCTGCCGGAGCTGCTGCAGGTCAAAGAGGTTGTTGTAGGTTCTTTCTGCGATGCTGTTCAGGGCAGAAATAAATCTTTTTGCTTGAGACCGATTGCTCATCCCAGACCCGTGCTGGGAACGCTCAAAGTCCAGCTTTCCAAACTCATCGGAGTAGGTTCCCAGCATGCTAAAAACAGATTAAAAAAAGATCAGCAGGAGATAAAAGCAAACACGTGTGGATTTGCTTCCTAAAACTGCTTGAGAAGGCTTTCAGAAGCCACATAGGAAACCATCCCCTATCAAGAAACTCATCGTCTAAGGAACTAACCATTCGTCAAAACTGCTTTTAAACTTTAATTGTTCAGCTGCAACAACAAAGAGTAATCACATGAGAGAAAAAAACCTTCAGGAGCCTCATGCCTAAGTTGCTGTGCACGGATAGACACAACCACTGTGATCACATAAAGGCCTAAGCAACTGTGTTCAACTTACAGCTGCTGTCAGCTTTCAAAGACAAATCCAAGTATTAGTATTACGGGCCTAAATTTGATCAAGTGATTTCTTCACTGTGTTTGTATATATGTTAAAAAAAAAAAAAAAGTTTTGAATGAATAACACCGTGATTTATTTAATTTTTCAAGCAGTGTGTGTTACCTGTATTTCATTATTTCTATTACGTCCTCAGCATCTTCCTTGGTACATTTCTCTCTTAATTCCAGCCTTGATCGTGCCTTAAAACAAAACAAAAAAACCCACAAAGGTTTATTAAAGATAGCTGATGTGAAAAAAGGCTACAATCACTCTACAAGTGCAAATTTTAGGAGCAGAGATGGAACTGAAGCCTAGAGGATTTAGAGGAAGATTTTTTTTTTGTTAGTGTTACAATGTCACCTCCTGCATACTTGCATTATTAGGCTGTAGCTTGGAGTTTGTTTGCTTTGTATTCTTGTGAAGCAGCAGATCACAAATAGTGTCATTAAGGCAGAGTGTTAGGGAAAACAGCAGCATTCTAAATTCAAGATGGGCAGCAGGTTGTTCCTGCCTGTACCTACTTTTTCTCCTTTTGAGGAATGTGATAGATTCCCTTTCCACCCCCTCAAGAGTGTTTTACTTTATAAGAGGCTTTAAGCAACAGTAGCTCTTAAACACTTCTAGGCCTCTTGCATTCTCACTTTCTTTTTTAAACAAAACAAAAAAAGCAGAGTGGTGAATAAGCTGTCAAAAATTATAGGACATCGGAAGCATCTTAGGAATAATCTCTTTGCTTTCAATCCCTGGAGTATTACAGCTTGAATTTACCTCTGTGAGTCGGATCAGCGACTCCAGCTGCCTCGTGGTGATTGGGGTACTGTCTGCTCCCTGGTTCTGCTTCCGGAGCTCGAGGTAGAATTCCTGGAGGACCTGTGCAGCCTCTGGAGATAAATTTGGATGAACGTACTGCCGGGCATATCCCACGTACTTCCTCAGCAGCTGATGTGGAATGGCATCAAAGTTTTCTCCTGTTGAGATCTAACCCAATTACAAGAAGCTTAGATTTCTGTCAGAACCCTACACAATAAAAGTTTTAATATAAAATCATCATCATTTATGCTTTATCTGGTGGAGTCATCACTATAAGGGCTTCAGTGCTTAATATATGAACAGTGTACTTGAAGTCCATACACTGTGCTTAGACATGTAAACACACACACTTGGCCATTTCAGAAGCAGCAGCCAAGATAAGAAGTGCCAAATAGTCTTCTGCAGAGCTGTAACAACCGGGAATTTGGATTTTCTCTTTTTGAGAAAGAATTCATTATATAGTTAAATCCTAACCCATCACTGCTGACATCCCATTTCCAGAAGTGCATGGGTTTAGCTCCAGCAGGAGTATTTCTCCCAAGACCTGTCACTGGACAATATCAGTTCCCAAACTGATCACTGAAGTCTAAAAAGAAATATACTTCCTCTCCTGTAATCCGTGAATCTGTTGACTTGCAGATGCCCAA